CCCACTCCCAATCTGTCAGAACCCATCCTCAAAGTCACCCCCATTCACTCAGGCCTACTCTCAACCCCCTCCCAATACACAGGAGCCCCTGCCTCCAGAACTACCCAGACAGAGGTCTCACTCCCAGATCAAAGGTTTGTGGCTGAATTCACTTGCAGGACAATGCATAACATCAGCTGCAGATGAAAACCCACCTCCTGGCTGGGACTGGTGGTGCATGCCTTTGACCCCAGAACTGGCTTGTGAGGCAGAGGCAAGCTCATCTTTGAGTATGAGACCAGGCTGGTCTAGGACAGCCAGGGCTGTTAAACAGAGACATTTTGTCTCAAAATAATAATAATAATAATAATAATAATAATAATAATAATAAATAAGCCAAAAAAAAAGAAAAGAAAACCCACCTCTTTTGCATATGGCTCAACTGAGCCAATTTTCTCATTTCCACTCAAGGATTTCCTAGTGATAACTTCAGACACTCCAGAAATCCCTAACTCTTGTCCCCAAAAGGCCCATTTAAGATCAGATTCAAGAAAATCACTTCAGAGGGCCTCTAAGACCCTAGTGTGACTCTCTTCCTCCCAGAAAAGGAGACACAGCCGCCCTTCCCCATCTCCAAGTGGTGAGGCCTTCCAACTGCCTCAGTCCCAAACCAGTGGGAAACAGAAGGGTATGCCATAGGAAGGTGGTCAAATGTCTGGCCTATCTTAAGTCTCCTTTCTCTGGAAGTCTCAGACCTGTCTGTAGAGGAATTCAAAGATTCCAGTTAAAAACCACCTAAGCGCCGGGCGGTGGTGGCACATGCCTTTAATCCCAGCACTCGGGAGGCAGAGGCAGGTGGATCTCTGTAAGTTCGAGGCCAGCCTGGACTACCAAGTGAGTTCCAGGAAAGGCGCAAAGCTACACAGAGAAACCCTGTCTCGAAAAACCAAAAAAAAAAAAAAAAACCACCTAAGCCCTTCCCAGGATGCAGGCAAGGTTGGACTCCTCTGAAGAAGCACATAAAACACACACACACACACACACACACACACACACACACACACACACACACTAATCCTCTTGTTGACAGGCCCTACATGGTGAAAAGGGAGAAGGGCTCACCCAAAAGGCAGATAGATAAAGCATCAGGTATTTCACTAAGGGTCCTGGGTTGGGTCAAAACAACACAATTCTTGATGAGCAACGGAGCCAATCTGTCTGTCCCTCGCAAGCTCTGTCTCCTCCTCTGTTTTGATTTCTTCCATCTTTATCCTTGCAAAAGCAAGCGGCTCTAGGAGTTAGGAGTGAGAGAAAGGCAGAAAACACCCAAAGGAGGAAATTCACAAAAACAAAAACGCTAACAAATCAGCAGCCAGGGTAGCTTTCGAGGGCAAAGAACTTTCTAGAAACACTCCTGTCACTGCTACATTTGTGGCTTGTCCTCAGTCCTCACTAGCCTGTTCCCTGGCCCAAAGGATGAAAAACAGGATAGAAAGAAAGAAGGGGGGGAGGGGGAGTTCTAAAAAAATGAAAACAACACAGCACATCCCTCTCTGTCACTGTCTCTGAAAGCAGTAACACAGTGCTGCTGTCTGTCAACTGGAGGTAGGCCGTGCTTTCCCAGGGTCCCTGGTTCCCGTGTCTGTAACAGTCATTTGCCACATACAAAAAATAAAAATCAAAACCAAAACAGCCCTCTAACATCTGACTGTCACTTCCTGAGAACCGTCTGGTAATCAACTTTAAATCATACAGAAAATAAATCTGACAGTCGTGGATTTGATAGTTTTGCTCCTTAATCTGGATTTTGAAAGCAGCTTGCCAATGACCCAAGATTTCTGCTTGCGTGTCTCCCTCCGGGCAGTCTGAGGAAATCTTAGCTTCTGTGTGTCTGTCTCTCAGATTCAGTGGCTTCACAACGCAGGGCACTGTGCTCAGAACAGAACCGGTACCTTTAGGACCTTCCTGCACCTCGCTCCTGCGGAGGAATTCCCTTGCTTGGATTCCATTAAATCGGGCTGCCCAGTTTCCTGACCACAGTTCTTTAACTCTGGGAGAAAGGACTGGAGAGTCACAGCTATGCTGTGATTGCTAACAATAACCATTACAACCAAATTCTCATACCAGAGCATGTGGACAACCCTATGAAGTTCGAGATAATGGAATCTGCCTTCCTGTTGTGTTTTGATGGTACCGCCCCCATACTGGTTAATTACAACAGCCTTGGGAACCAGAGTAGGCCAACAGGCCCAAACATTACAGAAATAGGGCAGCCTAACAGCAAGCAACCATTTTAATCACAAATGAAAGCAGAAACCACAGCACATACTGTACTCCTTGAGGTTGCTACAGCAAGCATCAGGTGCATTATTCTTGCAGAGCAGGCCAGCCGGGAGGCGGGGCTTATACAAGCTTCCTGAGACCAGACCCCCCCACACCCCCCCACTGCCTCCTTGCAGGAAAGACTCAGGGCCCAAGGTCGGGAAGCAAGCTAGGAAGCTTCCAGGCACCAATGCAGACAGCAAGGAGGAACAGCAATTCCACACATTTTGAGAAAACACTGCTTAGTCACTTAAATATTTACTTTTAAAGATGAAACTTTTGCAACTCCCCAATTAAACTAAGATTCCTAGGAAAGAGTCTGCTTTGGGAACCTCAAGCATTCCCAATCTCTCACACTATCATTTCCAAAGCCTCTAGAAGATAACACTAAAAGGAACAACATGCACGTGTATACACAAACACACACATATACACACACACACCAGTAATAAGAACATATTCCCTGGACACTACATGTGACCAATACTTTTAGTTCCCTTAAGAACCAGCCAAACCTCCACGGGCATGAGCAGACCATTTCTATCAGTCTTCATTTACAGATTTATTCTAATGAACCAACCCCCTTCAGGTTGCCCAAAGTGAGCCAGGCCTGTCCTAGAAAAGTGAAAGAGCCACCCACCACTTTAAGTCCTAATGGGGAATCTCCCTTATTTTGGCTCCTTGACACTAGGAAGTCTAACTGGCATTAAGTATACATGGCAGTTAAATCCAGTCCCCAAACAGCAAGAAAGCACTTTGCTGTCCGGCCAGGACAAGCCCAATAAGAGGCTGCCCGGAAGCACTGATTGACTTGGGCCCTGCCTTTCTACCCTCTCTTCATGTTTCAGGTAGTTGGCGATTGCAGCTCACTGTTTTTGTTGTTCTCAGAGTCAGCAAGTTCCTTGTCAATGAAAGCAGTTTTTAGATGTGGAGAACAGCTTCCATCCCATAGAAAGTATACCTATTGGGTGGGGGTGAAGAGGGAGGCAAGTGACCCATGCCATAAAGACAGAAGGTCTTCAAGGCACTTAATTTCTTGCCATTCCAAAAGAACTGCTTTCAAAGTGTATAAGGGCTTGCTGCTGCCACCGACCCCATGTTGTTAAATAACACTTGTGTAATTAAATAAAAGGCCCAGTGTGACCCCCAGCCCGTTCTGAGAGCCGCTTTACATTGTCTTCTGAAAGCCATACTGGAAATCAAATGCAGACAATCCCTTTTGTCCTGTGACTGAGGAAAGCAAAGGGGGGGAAAGTTGCTGCTGGCCTTGAAGGCTGCACACTCTCTGGAAGGGGAGGCCTTCGGGAACCCCTCGAAACTAGATGAACACAAATACAGGTGTGCAAACACCCAGGTATTCACCTCTCCAAAGACCCCCTTCTTGAAATCCTTAAGTGATTTAGACTCTGGGTGTCCAGACCCCTCACAGCCCACCTCTGTTGCCCGTGTTGCCCGTGTTCTACGTCTGCGATTTGGAATCTCAGCCTCCCAGTCCTCGACCGCATGCAGCCTGTTACCTCGGAAGGTCTATGCTTTCCTATTTAATGCTGTCTGGGCCACAGCACTCCAGCCCACTGGAACTCGTGATTTTTAGGGTTTCCCTTGAAACCTATCCAGAAACCACAGCCATTAAAAGAACATGAAGGTTTGACACCTCCTGAATTTAGGAATGAGGGGACTCCAGGGGCCAACTCTACAAACTTGCACCTGCTGCTTGATGGTAAAGAAACAGTTACCCCCAGCTGGGGTGAGCTTCAAATTATACTCTATTTACTTAGTGACTTGTCTCCGAGGATCTCAAAGCATGAAATGAAGTAAGATGAAGATGACGTGTAACTTTCTTACTATCTCTCCGAGGCTTAAGTCTGTTTGCCTTGCTGGGCCTTGATGCCTTCTGCCAAGCAGGCCCTGCTTGGCCAGAGCCTGAAAAAGAGGCCTTCCCTGGGTTCCAGATGGGAAAGCTAGACTCTCTGTGGTTATATGTCAGTGGCTTCACGAGAGTCACCCAAGGCTGATAAATGACATAAACGCAGAGTGGAGGCGCCCTCATGGATTCACCTGCTCGCCACCGGCCACCGCCGCTGGTTGCCTTTAAACCAGTTTAGCATACGGGGTACCACTATGTGAGGCTGTTGAAACTCCCTTGGAGTGTGCCATGTACTGGCCGTGGGCTTTCCCCTGAGGGCAAGATTCCCCATCATCATTACATAGATCTGTACAAGACAGAAAGGGCTGTTTTCATGAAAGCTTGTTTTTTCTCTAAGCCTACAAACATGACTTTGGGGTTGCCATTTTTTTTTCTTGTTGCTACCCTAACTTGGACATCTCTCCTCTTTAACTGGATAAAAATCTTACCTCTTCCTTCCTTCGTACCTCCCCCCCACACCCCCCAAATAAATGCTGCACTGGCTCTGGCAGAAGAGCAACCCGAAATTAGAGGGCAGCCAAGATGATCTCCACAGGTCCCTCCAGCTCTATACCGATTCTCTCTTTAATTACTCCCCAAACAGGCGCATTCTTCACATTGCTGCAAACTGACCAGCGATTTCTAAGTCTCAGAGTCAGAGTGTCAGTCTCTCTCTCTCTCTCTCTCTCTCTCTCTCTCTCTCTCTCTCTCTCTCTCTCTCTCTCTCTCTCTCCCCCACTCTCTCCCTCTCTCTGGCTGAAGAGGATGTGTTTTAGACGAAAGAACCCAAAGTTCTCAGTGGCACCAGTACCCCAAGTATTAGGAAGGCAGGAACTAACCCAAAAGCAGAGTGAGGAGGAGGAGGAGGAGGAGGTCGGAGAGGAAAGCGAGAGGGAATACAAGAAGGAACGCACTCCCGTGCCCAGCAGACTCTAGCCACTCTCTCCCCAGGTAGGTTCCCACTGGAGTCTAGGAGTTCAAGTGCATCCAGCCTGCCCTTCCCCCACATGCCCCAAGAGAATGGGAAGTTCAGCCAAGACTCGCAGCACCTGCCTCCAGCGCTAGGCCGGCTGCGAGCCGCGCGGCGGGGGAGGGAGGGAGGCTGCACTCACCTGGCACACAAAGCCTCCGTACACCTCGGGAGGAAGGAGGCACTCGGAGGTCCGGGGGCCACCACTCCGGCCTGCGCGACAACGGGAGATTCCAGCGGCAGCGGAGCCCCGAACTTACCCACCCCAGGCGGCATTCTCCCCACCTCCCGCTGCCCCCCGGGCTCGGCGGTGGCGCAGGCTAGGAGCGAGGGGCCTGGCGGCAGGGGCGGGGCGCGCATGGTGGCGGCCCGGGCTGGCGATCTTCGGGCTGCCCGGGGAGGGAGGTCCCCCAGGCGCGGCGGGGATTCACCCACGGGGCGCGGCGCTGCGTCCCCGGTCCCCGTCCCGGCCTGCCCGCCTCTCTCCTCCTCCTGCGCCGCCCGCCCGCCCGGAATCGCTTTATGTAAATGAAGCTCAACTCGCAGTTTGCAGCGCGCACCGCCCGAGGAAGGGGGGCGGGCGGGGCGGGGGGCCTTCGGGGATCCACATTACACAGCAACAAAGCGGAAGGTTAATTTGAAACTCACAGCCCCGCAGCCTCTCGGCTCCCCGGGCAAAGCCTGACATCTACAGTCGCGCTAGGCGCAGGCCGGACTGCTCACGGTGGCCGCGCCCGCGTGCCTGCGGGGACCTGGGGACAGAACACACGGGAGCAGGGCCGGGTCTGCTGGGCCCTGGCTCCCAGCACCGGCCTCGGAGGCAGGCTGGGCCGCACTCGCCTGGGGACAGGAGCCTTGGCTGCCCCGGCCTACACCACCAACCCAGGAACCGGCCCGGCAGGAACAAAGCCGCGTCCCCGCGAGGCACTGACCGCACTGCTCATCAAAAGTCAAAGGCCGGCCTGGAAGAAACGGATGCTCCCTCCGCCACCAAAAAAAAAAAAAAAAAAAAGCAGCAGCAGAAGCAGTTGGGGCCTCCGAACCCTGATCCATCAGTCTCTGGGCCCTGTCCACGTCAGAACCAGGCCACTCTAACAGGGGACATTAGCCAATGTGGACAGGAATTTATTTGAAACACACACCCATCCTATTAACTGCTTCACAGAGAACTTCTGTTTTTCAGCTGCAGAAACTTGTGAAAACATCCCCTACTCTCCACTGAGAGTTTAAGGACAGTTTTGGAGGAGAGAAGGGAAAAGGAGAAGAAGGGAGGAAGAAATGGCTAGGAAAGGACAAGCAGTTTACAGCCACCCGATTTAAGCAAGGACACTACCCTTAAAAGCCACACGGCATTTCAGAGAGGGCAAGAAAGGTGCCGGTCTCAGGGAGGTACTACCACCAGGATCAAACCAAACAGGGCTACCTCAGCTGGTCAAAGCAACTGCTGGTGGCTTCTGGCTCCCCTCAGTTCACCTTTTACATGCTGTTATGTAAAGGCAGGCCCCTTGAAATCTCACCGGAAGTCTCCAGTCCTCCCAGCCAGAATTCCACCCTCCTCCTAAATCTAGTCTTCATTCTCAGCACAGAAAGAAAGACACCTGCTTTTTCTCTTTCTGAAAACCAGCCACCCAGGCTGCCCCTGCAGCCGCGACTCTTTTCCTACTACACAATAATGAACCATGCAAGTGTTAGAAATATAATAAGCTCGCCAGGAGGAAGAGCAGAATGTATGGAATCGTATTTGCATTAAGCACGCGTTAACAGGGAGAAAAGGGGGGTGCTTGGTTGGTGAAAACTACCATGTCCCTGCGTAGAAAGCATTTCTGGTACAATAGAATTTGGGTTCAAATCGATGTAAATACCTAACCTGTTGGGTGCAGACTAACCCCGTCTATATTTTAGTACAAAAAAAAAAAAAAAGGATTGCAATTTTCCCCCCAAGCTAGGGTCTTGGAAGAAAAGAACTGCCTCTAGGGAATCAAGTCGATTAGGGACAAAGAAGGGCAGAGGCCAAATTTAGTCAAACTTGGGGGGGGGGAGCAGGGGGGGTGGAAAGCAGAAAGGAGGGTGGAGGATGGTTCTGTAAACCAGAGTATGGCCACTGTAGAGCTGTTCCAGACTGCCTGACCTCAGGCTCAAGAACAGGTGGTGTTTTCAAAACACACTGTTATTTATGTTAGCCACATGAGTCAGGAACACCTTAAAGAAAACCAATTAATAATTTAATTGAAAAAGTGACTATGAATAATACATGAAGATGATGATGCCAGCAGAGAGACAAGCAAGGTGGCCCTTCACTCAGAGATGCCCCCCCCCACCCGTCCCCGGAAATCTCTTTGGGGAAATGGAGATTCCAGACCCTCCCTCCTCACCTGGAAGCCACCCCATGGGCCCAGCTGACAACAGGAAAATGTTTCTACTCCTGGAAAATCGAATTTTGCAGCTTTCTCTTGAGTTTTATTCACGGGACAACCTCATAGAATCTCCTACTACGGTGAGTATGGGGGGGGCGGAGGACACACATAAATACCTTCGACAAAATGAAAGCTGGGAAAACCACAAGACTAGAGTAACCTGAGAGGCTGAGGAGGGGCTGGCAGAGGGGCTCTGCCTTGATTCGGCCAGTGTCCCAGGCCCTGGTGACAGGCCTTCCACACCTCAGAAGCCTGACAAGCAGAAAAGAGACTGACCCTGATCCCTCTTCTTTTATCTTAATCCTGCAATAGCTACACGCATGGTGAGGCCTACTCAAGCCTGTCTTTGTTCCAGACAAAAATTTCACAGGTAAGCCATGGGCAGGTAGCCTACAGCCTGTAGACCATCATGAATATGACGGACTGCCTAAAAGCTGGGGCGTTACCTCAGGGACAACTCATTTTCATCCTTAACCAAAACAAGAGCACTTCAGAGGGAATTTGCGAAGCACACGCTGACATATGGGCCCACCAGTTTCTCTGAAATCTATGTTGCAGATCCTATCCCCAAGCTCGGGACAGGGCAGCTGCCTGATGTCAAACCCACGCCGGCCCAGCACTGACAGCCTGGTGTTCTCGGGCTGCATCCTGAACACAATGACAAATAAAGCCACCATTAGAAGAGGCAGTTCCGAACCGTTCTCACAGTTCTCCATCCCCAGGCTCGTCTCATCTAGAAAGCCTGATTGGCAACAGCCAAAGGATAAATATTTAAAAATAAACCAGGGAACGCTAGCCCCTTCTCTTCTCCTCCCCCTCCCCTTCTCCAGGCCAGAGGTCTGCCCACTAATGCTTAGCTGGCTGATAAATCACAATTCTCCAACCCAGCCAAACCTGCTCCCTGCCACCCCCATATCCACTCTCTAATGCTCCATCCTTTCACTGGGGCAAGGCTAAATATGATCCCTGACTGAAGAGACAGTGGATGTCAGCATTCCAGCCCCTCCTCCGAGCACAACTGGGTTTAGGTAGATGTGTGTAATTCTTCCAGATGATTCTATTTTTATTAAATTATATACCCACACTGATTTTGAAACTTGTGCTTAAATGATCTGGAGGCTTTAACCTGGGACAGAGGACAGAGACACACACAGACATGTTCCCCAAATAAATACAAATACATCTGGAGCTGCATTTCGCTCCATGGTCTGAGCTCACCCCACCAATATGAGGTAGTTTTATTTCGGGGCCAGGTACCTGCTGGGTGCCCCAGGCCTCCTGGGTATGATCCAGAATACAGGCCAACCTCCACGCAGCACAGCTAGGGAAGGGTGGCATGCAAGGAGGGCCTACGCACATGTTTTGTTTCACGTTTCTCTGACAGGAACCTCGAGGCCTTCATGTATGATGGCAGCGCTAATTCCACAGATTAATTTTTACCCCACCGTCGATGGAATGTTATCTGGTTTATTTACCTGCTCTTCCCAACCCACCTCCTGAACCTTTCAATCATATGCACGATACAGACACAAATGAGTCATCTGCCTTTAAATCTGTGATTCAAAAGAGTTTTCCCAAAATAATTTTAAGTGGCGAAGCCCAAGTCTCAAGGAAGCAAAAATACAGAAGTTGTCTTAAAACCGCCTTAAATGTTAGGCAAATAGGTCACCACGGTCTCTTTTTTTCTTTCTTTTTTGGAAACAAAAATATTTTTTCTGAAAGGGCAAAGAGAATTTGCCATGCAAGACTTTTATACCCAGGGGGATTTTTACATTTGCTTTTCTAAACCTTGAAATTGAGAATTTTAATGACAAGGCAGACAGATGCTTACAGACAGCATCCCAGTCAAGGGTCTACATGCTAAGGAGAGTGGCGCTTTGTTTGGGCCAAGGGGGGAGAAAAAGGAGGTGGACTTCCCCCCCTGGTCCTGAGCCATCCCCCCAACTGTCTGGCACATCCCTTCACAGTGGCCAGCAAACCACCGAATTCTTGGAGGGGACGGAGGTCGGGGCAGAAGAAAGGAAACAGGAAACAAGAGAGGAAAAGAAAATGGACAGGCAGGGGATATTGTCTGTTTATATAAATCCTACTTTAAAAAAAAAAAATCTCAACCCACTATCAATCCCATATACACCAACTAGTTTAAACAGTGCATTCTGTCGGACTCCCAGCCATCCATCTCAGATTTTTTTTTTCTTTTTAATGAGTAATTTCACGTAGGTTTCAATTCTTCCCTAGCCAATGATCACTTTTAAGTAGTGGACAGGATACCAGGAGATAAACAAAAGATGACCCTTTCACGCTTTACCCCGGGTGATGCTAGAATCCCATTTCTTCGATTCATCTTTTCACCGCAGTTCATTTGTGCTGGAAGTCTGTGCTAATCTGGCTTCACAGCCGTCCCCCCCACCCCAGCCCCCGGTTGAAATCTCACATATCCCCCAAGTCAGCCAGTGTTTTAGAATGTGGGTTTCTATTGAGGCTGTTCCAATTGCCAGTGAGGCCTACGGTGAAATGTGCTTCATGCTGCTCCCTTCGTCTCTCTGCGGACAAATAGAAACTGTGAAATTTAAAGAATGGATAAAAAAAAAAAATCTAAAACAAAGAGGTTAAAAAAATAGGACAAATGTTTTTGCTTTTGTGTCTCCCTGCAGCGATTGTTTGGGGAAGCCTGCACTGACAATAACCATGAGCAGGCCATCTAAAGGCGATGCGCTCACAAGGGGACGCCTTGCCTGCTCCCTTTGGTCTGGGAGAAAAAGTACCTTAGCTCCGTTCTCCAGGAACAAAAGGCCGGGGCCATGGGAGGGGGGAGAGGTTACTGGGCTTTCACAGGGAGCAAAGTGTCAAAGCTGGTTCATTTTTCACCCTTCTTAGTTAGAAAGCCGCTCAGGGAACTTCCTAATGACTCCTTTTCCCTCTCTATTACTGTTAAACCTAAGACGACAAAACAATGACATATTTTATATACATATGAGTATGTGTATGTGTATACATATGTGTGTATATACACACAACCTTTAAAAAAAAAAAAACAAAACCTAAAACCCACCATGCCAGTAAAGGAAGGCCTTTGGGGCCTACATGAGCCTGCTTCTCACCTCCCTCTGGCCACCCTACTTTTTGTCTTTTTGGAGGGGGGATCCAGCAGTAGATCAGATGAAAAGAGAGACAGTGACATGTCCAGTAACATCAAACTGGCCTTTATCGGTCCAAAAAGGTAGGGCATTATAGGGGGAGGGCAGTAAGGGACCAGGACAGGAGGTGCTGGGGCAGAGGGTTGGGGGCAAGTTCCTTTTTTCACAGCATGAAGTCAGATAATGCCAATTTCACATTCACAACTGAATCTAAATCTCACATCATCACTGGATGGTGGGAGTGGCTTTTTTGTTTATTTATTTGGAGTTTAGATGTGTGTGTGTGTGTGTGTGTGTGTGTGTGTGTGTGTGTGTGTGTGTGTTCTTTTTTTAGAGGATGTCCTAGAGAACTGGACAGTGAGGATGTATTAACCCAGACAAGGTGTGGCAGGGACCAGGGGAGGTGGTGCCACCAGGAAAGGAAGCTGGGATGAATCACTGCATGCCATGGAAATACTGGGCCCAGTGGATGTAGGAGTGTTTAACCAGATTAACACGCTGGAAGTGTCTTCCCAGGCAAGCAAAACCCTAGGTCAAAGCAAAGACATTCGACCCCCAAGCCAGACCTGACTGCTCGGGGAACACCCCCCCCCCCCTTCCCCAAAGCAAGCGCAGGGCTCTGACCAAAGAGCAAGGTCACAAGCAGGGATGAGAGGGCCCTGCAAAGCACAATAAACACTCGAATATGAACGGAAATGACATCAGCAAAGTGAAGGACCTGTTTACTGCAGATCAAAACAAAACAAACTTCCAAACCTTTTGTGTACACAAGAGAACTCTATAAAAAGCCTTGCTAAATGTCACTAGGGTCTACACATCGGCAACCCAATAAGAAAACATGACGGGTACTGGAGGGGGGCCTTGGGGGGGGGGGGAATGATGGAAAGAAGATGGAGGGAGGGAGATCAATCCCAGCTAGGACCAAAAAGCCAGTTGCTGGTTACCCCCTCTGCTGAGTCTTAATATTTATTGGTGTTTATAATCTGAAAGCCATGCTCTATGTTTCAGTTAATACAAGGCCAGACAGCGTTGTCTAATGAGGCAGCATTACAATCAGCTTGTAATGCTGAATTTTTAATGCTGCCAAGGATTCTGTTACATAATAATATGAAAAACAGAAGCCGAGAGTGGGGTCACAGTGACAAGACCTCCCTAATGCCACCAGCCTGGCTTCCCTTGCCTCCGCCCACTACGACTTTCTGATTTGAAATCAACTCTTCATTCCCTACACAGGAGGTCGATATGGAAACCGAGAGGATTTCTTAGGAAATCCACACTTTCCATGCTTTCTGTAGTCTCTTATCCAAAGTTCTATGTCAAGAGTTGGAATTCTAGCTTATCTGGGGTGAGAGCTCTAAAATGAAAATTATTTCTTCTTGAAGGTGGGGGCAGGGGCTGAAGAGACAAAGAACAGAGGGGAGAGGATGGCTTAGTTTTAAGCAGATCAAGCCATTTTTAAAAATAAAAATAACCACAGAAGGAGAAAGAATGGGGGTTGGGGGGAGTGGAAAGGTGGAGTTGGCCGCCCATCTCCATAGCCGCTGTTCTCAGCTTCCACTGATGTAATTTAAAAGCATACATACAGGCGCGTCGCTTCTCTCTGTAATACCCCAAGACTGTAAATCTATAACCACTGCAATGATTTAGTGATTAAAAACATGATAACATATTGTGTAACTGCAAACCACAGAACCCTTGCCAACTCTCCTCCAAGATAAAGGGAGGGTGGGGGGAATACAGAAAATGTGTTGCTTGCAGGGATCTTCCCAAACTCCAAAGGTTTTAATGAAAGGACCCATACAGCAGACAATCTCAAAAGGGTGAGTGGATTCTGTGTGAGACCAGAAAAGAGAGGATAAGGGGGGGGGGGGCGGGTGCTAGCTTTACGTGGGATTCTTTTCCTTGTAATAACAAATTACAACCTAAACATGCCTTTTCCTTTCTCTCCTCCTTCCCTTTTTTTAATGGTTTGCTGTAACTGGAATGACTGGTCTTGCGCACTGTCGTGCATATTCAAAGCTGCTTTGTAATCGCATCTGGAGACCCCACCTGACTTGCCTGAACTCAGGGGGTTATTGTTGTTTTTTTTTCTCCCCCTCCTCCCTGGTTTTGTTTTGGATTCAGTATGGTAGGTTTTCTGGTGTCACTGGGAGCCCCCGTCTACACCGTCAAAGGAAGGCCCTGATGCCTTTAAGCTACTGAGCTACCTGAGAGGGAAGCACGATTTGTAACTTGTCAGGAGGAGCCTAAGCTACACACACACACACACACACACACACACACACACACACACACACTAAAATCAAAGCAGCTGTAGGGGTTTTGGCCTCTGAGCAGCTGACCTGACCCCATTCTGTATATTCTTTTTACTTCCCCATTGCAGGAATCCTGCACCTTGGGTCAGATTAGTACTCCGTGACCCTGAGGAGGAAGGCAGTCACCAAGCCCTGGAAAACTGTTCCATATTTAATGTGGCCGGGGTGGGGGGGGGGGGTGGGGGGGGGTGGGGGGGTGCAAATATATTCAGAAACCACACACACACACACACACACACACACACACACACACACACACACACACCACAATCTGTCAGGGCTACCAGGCCATAAGACCAGCTCCTCCGGCCCAGCTTTCTCAGTCCACACCACTGAGAGCTACCACCACCACCACCACCACCACAGCCACCAAACCTTCATGCCTACAGCTCTAACCACCAACATACACAAACACTCCTTGGGGGACTTCATGTTTAAAAAGTCCACAGATCTGAATCGCCTCCTCTCTGGACCAGAGCTGGGCAGTTTATTCAGAGAAATCAATAGGAAAGAGCATTTGCAAATATTTATATAAGCCCAGTGTGTTTCAGCATTAAGTAATTAAAAACTAGAACCCAGGGAGGGGGGAAGGGAGGAGACACAGGCAAGAGGAAGGCCGCAGGCCTCCACTGCTTTCCTGCCCACACCTCATCTCCCCAAACCACAATCCTTTCAAAAATGACTTCTTCGTGTACACTTTTTGCGAAATCCTGTTCTGAACCATTTTCAAGACTTTTCAAAATAATCTCCAAATATGGATTCACCTACCACCATTCAGGACTGACTGTGAGATAACTGTCTTCTGTATTCTCTCTCTGTCTGTCTGTCTCTGTCTCTGTCTCTCTCTCTCTCACACACACACACACACACACACACACTCTCGAGCACACTCTGGCTTTTCATATTGCTTCAATCTCTAATACGTTACTCTGTTATGTTCCTACCTCTCCTTGTACTAGTTTAAAAAATCGAACAGAACATCCTGAGGAGAGGAAGGCTGCAGCAGAGATTCCATAACCCAATACCCACCCGAGAAGTCCTAGGCTGGTGCCTACTTCCCTCCAACTCAGGAGACTTACACTTTGGGGGTTCAGCATTTGAAATCCTCACATGTAAACAAATACATACACACACACACACACACACACACACACTTCAGTAAAATAAAGGGTTATAACACGGGCCACTATGGAGTGAACTTCTATATTGTTCTGGAAAGCTGAGCAGTAAATTCTGGTCATTCTGCTTCTAAATCTGCTGAAAGAAACCGACCAAGGCACTGGAGCACCCACACTACAGGTATTGTAGAAATTTACAGTAAATGTAGGTACAAGATTGCAGCACATCGCCCTATTGATTATTCAGATCGATCAATCTCTCCTCTACCATTTCCCAAGCTTCTTTCCCAGGACCTCCGAAAAAGTTGGCCAGTAACTAGCCATACACCCAAAGCAAGTAGAAAATATATATATATATTAGAAAAAGAAAAACATTATAAATCCTCAATGCCCCCAAAGGGTTTGAGCCTTTCTAAAAATTCCAAAGTGAATTTATGTTCTGTAATTTGCATTGGCCACCGTATGTCAGTCTTCAAAGGTATTTAACAAGCCCCCCTTTTAAAAGTCACCAACAGAAGGCCAGAAAATAGCAATCAGTTTCCTTCTTCCATATAGTCCTCAGATCAAGTTTCAATAATTGAAACCAATAAAAATTGACATATTTCCCCTACTTCAAAGTAATAAGGGGGGAAAGTTAAGAGTGGGTGATTTTTGAAGTACTCATAACCAAAGAATTTGCCACAGTCGAAGGAATTGCACATTTCACAAAAGTCAGGTTCTGAGCAACAAATTCATTCACAAAGTAAAACATATTATTTTAATAGCTCCAAACACAATTCAAGTGCACTGCATAAAACACTTAAGACCTATCCGCCAACTGACAT